CAAATCTCATTATGCATGAGAGGATTTATGGTCACTGCAATGGATTCATTTTTAGGTTAAAGCGGCTGGAAAGTACCGACAACAGGGCAAGACCTATGTTGTCGAAGACGGCGACGTCATACTCTTCAAATTTAATGCCGGAGCAGGCCTGACGGGAGGGAAAAAGAAGTAGCGACAACAGGACGTGTGGAGCTCACCATCTGCTTCGTGCTGTTCAAAACCCGTTATAGCTATTTGTTGTTGCGTTGTTTCCGATAAACGTTTTGCTTGTAATCCACAAAGTAGTCAAATAGTTCTTTGATCACGTCAGCCTAAGTGAAGTTCCGATTCTTTTGCGGCAATTTACACTGTGACGAATGGGGTAGAAGAGGTGTGGCGGCCTGCGAGTGAGAGACGCAGACGCGGCAACAATCGTGGTCAGGACCAGATGACGAGGACGGCGACGAGAGAGCGCGTACTCAGAGAGACGCAGTGAGGGCGTGGCTGACGGAGAGGGCATGGGAGCTTGACGACGGGAAGGCGCGAGGGGATACGCGACGGGGGGAGGGTGCAGCTACAGCGACAGAGCGTATGACATCGACCAGACGGCGGAAGTGTGAAGAGAGAGCACTGGACCGGTGAGGGCCTTTGATTGGGGGCGTGGCTACGCGGGGCGTGCTGCGGCGGCGGGCGGTCCGCCATTTGCCCCACCCCCGATGGCCGAGCCGCCCCTCCTTCCGAAGCCACCCGGCCAACAGCAACCCGCCAAGGTAAACCATCCCTTCTGAAGCTCGCATTTGGTGTGAATGGACGTTATCAACACGTTGAGGACGCACTAAAGCTTTAGCGAGTCTTGCTTTGTCATTTTAGGTGATCCTAATCCCACATGCTGCACAGCAACCCACCCAACAAGTCTACCTGCTACAGCCGAACACCGGGCAGCAACAGGTGAGAGTGACAGATCTGATCCATGTTTGTATCGATTAATACCCAACAGTTCTACGTTTGTATTGATTAACTGGATGGCGTTAATGCGGTTAGTGGCCGATGTATACGAGAGATGTGAGTCAGCGGAAACCTAATTGTTTTTTTTAAAAGGAAGCATTGCAATTTGCCACTATGTTTAAGGCTGGAATGACTTGGTATCTTCGAGAATCTTCTTTGAAATGTTTATGGAGGGTGAAGAATTTGACGTGCATTCAATCTTCAGTTGAACTCTAGATAGTTCTTTCGAAAATCATTCAATCATTGAGAGAAGGTAGAGGAATTGCAGGAGAAGGCAGAATGTTGTAGCTATATTCTTTTCGACATGGAAGTAGACCTTCGGTTGTAGAGAGTTGTGTGGGGCAAGCATGGCCCTCATCAGCACCTTGCTTCTTGATTCATCATGAAATAAGGGGTTCGCAATCAATTCATTTTTGGTTGCTTTTCGGGCATGTTTTGTTTGTGAAAACACCGGCCTGGTCTACAGTAAACACACGTTTTTCTACCAAGTTTGATAGCATCGGTCGAAATACCATGTATTGTATTTATTCTGCCTAATACCTTCTAGAAACAATATCGTAGTTCCGCCTATAACCATGGGCGCCACATGCAGGTTAACAGAAATTTAGTCCCTTTTTATTTCTGACTATTTAAATGTTACTCACTGAGGTAGCAGGTGAAAGGCAAATTCCTTTGCCTTTTTATTGCCCTCTTCACTGGCTGGTACAATGTTCCCTAACAGATCCCTTAGTGTTGAGTTATTTATGCCAAAATCAAATTGATCTTGTGCACCTTCCACTGCCATTTTCTGAACTCACATACTCTTTTGGAGTTCCGAATGTATTAAAACGGATAGATTCTCAAATTGTCACTACACAATCACTATTGTTTCCGTTTACCATCGAAGTAAACTTAAAAAACTGTTGTATGACGCAATATTGTTCTAAATTGGGAGTGTTGTCAGTCTTTCGAAAAGTTTTGCTCCCTTTTGTAGTTTGGCCTGCCCTTTACGTTAGAAACGGAATGTGAGGTGGGTTGTGCATCGGTGCCAATATCGATATGGCCAGGACGGGTTGCAGTTGAAGAGACCATGCGAAGTTTTTAGGCAAACAAAATAGATATACCTTGATCTCCGACGGGTCAAATGAGTGCTATTTTGTTTATGTTTGGCGTTTTGGGTTTTATTTTCTCCTCACTAGAGCGATTAAGTACGAGCGAAGGTTTTCGTTAAGTAAACATTAATGTGATTCTGGGTCGTTTCTAAAAGGCTTCCTTCGGAATTGAGATAGGGAATTAAGCGTGATTTTGGTTATATTCCTTTCATGCCTTCAAAATTTGGACCTGTTTTTATTGATCTTTGTTTCAAACCAAATTGCTGGGTATTAAGTCACTGAAGTGATAACACTGTCATATTTTCAATGCGGCCAAAAAAATCTTGTAGAAGTTTGTTATTCTGAGCCATCGTAGGTAGAACATTTTTGAAAAAGCGAAAAATTGCGAGTACATTTTCTAGTCCCTGTTTGCAACTATTATGTGTGAAAAAGGTTTTTGCATCTTCCCTTCCCCAACACCCGCCTTTTAATCCTTCAAAGGGGGCAGCGAAAGTTTCGCCATGCTACGCTTAGGGCTAGTTACTGCTAAATCAAGCAAAAGTACTTTTTGAAAGAGGAACTGATTGCTGCACCTGGTGTCAAGTCCGGAAATTAGTCGGTTAGAATACTTCACGAAACGGTGTGATTGCTCGGAGTTGAGCGGGTAATTAACCCAATGACGATAGCATAACCTGTAGGCGGAGTGCACTCCCACCCAGCCGCGTTGAACCGCATGGTGTCTGGTTGAGCGGAAGGGGTTTTATAGAAATGATTTGGGGCGCAGTTTTTTTTAGTAGAAAACAACAAAGCAACTTGAGACGCCATAAAGAAGTGCGCATGTATGAATACCTTCTTTACGGCAATTTCATGGGAAATCCATTTTAGCAAGTATGCACTAAGGGAAATAGAGGTCTCTTGAAAGGGGCCACATTAGAAGCCCGTCAATGGTCTCGAACGGCAGACACAATTGGAATGCGCGAATGCCAGCAGGTTAACGAAATAACCCATTGCTACCCTTCACATGGTTTCGACTTGCGAATTTGCAAGGGCTGATTAAGGGCTTATAGGCCCTTAATCCCTTCAAGCGAGCTGGTCTACTAATTGTGGTTACAAACCACATTTACCGAGAGGGTCTAGCGCGGGGTGTCAATTCAATTGTTTCTCCTCTCTTGATATTTCACCTTTCAACCGATTCTTTCACTATCGATTTTGCCCAAGAAGCACGTGTCAGGTTGAGAAGAAGTTCGGTTTGAAAACGAATCGACCAAAAGTACTCAATGAGAAGTGAAACACTGCCTTCGACGGATCGCCCTTTCTAACATTCGATAAGTCAAAAAAGCGATTTATATAAGCTGTCTCAACGATGTTCCATTCCATCGTTCCTCTTACGCAAATATTTAGGGGTGGTCTGGCATTCTTTAGTGGGATGTCGCCTGTTAGGAGTATTACGCTCTGTCCTTATCAATTGTGCTTATAAAAATTACTTTGCTCTTAATGCCTTATCATTAGTGTACTTCTTCAATTGCAAAAGTTTTCATAGGAAGGTTCAAGCATTAAATCTTAAATTAACATATGAGGTCGGTGAGCGATAAGCACCGAGTGTGTTTCTAGTGAGCTTTCTTGGTTTTTGAAACTTCAAGATTAAAATTTAAGCATGGGTTCGACGCAGTAATGCTGCATTTTTCATTTATGACCTTATTCATTTAGCTTTTTTACATCTGCAATTACAGCTTACCTTCATCCCGGTTCAAATTCCGGCTGATACGCAGAAGAAACAAATGACAATGTTAAGCCCAATGCAACCAACGAGCAGTAATACACATATAAATGTTTCACAGGTATGATATGGATGATAAATGTGTATTAAATGAGCTGGCTCTGATTTCACAGCGACTGGTCATCGCAATCTTTGTATAGGGCACATACACATGCAAAACCGCCACTACGATTCTGAATTGAAGGCCAATCAGAAGGGATTGATCAACGCCGAAAGGCCTTAACCTCTTATCAGTCGTATACATCTTTCGGTTTGTCTGTGTGTGTTTCAAAGAAAATCATAGCTCCTGTTTCCATAGGCTCAGAGTAAATGGAAATAAAGCGAGTTACATAAACACAGGTTTCAAGGAGGACTCCGCTTATGGCAGGCGGGGCGCACGAAGAGTGTGTGTGAATGTGTTTGGCCAAAAGTCAAGAGCTTCTGTTCCCTTTCACCGGAGCTTCAAAAATGAAAAGGGGTGCAGACGGCGTGACAATTTTTACACGAAGAGGATGGCGACGTCAGTTGGGTGATCCGACTGGTGTATATTTATTCATTTATACATCATATATACGTATATCACCACAGACGCAAAAACGCGCTGAAAAACCAGGCCTGATAAAATGGGTGAAGAACGCTGTCGGATGTTACCTTATGGGTGTGATTTCTAGGAAGACCTAACTGTGCCTCTAATTTACCGCTTGCAGTTCCGCTTAAGGTCGTTAGTTGTTGTTATTTTCGACTGATGTAATAGTGCTGAAGTCTATACTTTTTACTATCTATTGATTGCTCAGATTTGACCACGAGTCCTATCTCATCACATGTATCCTTCACCAATTTTTGCTGTAGTTTTACTGCAGAAGAGCTTAGTGATGATGTCTGTTCAGCCACTCCACAAATTGGTATAATCACTCTAAATTGGTCGGAATCACAAACAAATTAGACCACTGTGTCATAATTTATTCTGCGTATGCGCTATCAGTAATATAGGTAGTACCTGTAAGCTTATTTCTAACAGCTACTATCTCTCTTTGGGTTTTCTGTATCAATACCTCTATAATTGTAAAAGTTTTGCTTACAACTAGGCGTGGGCTAAATTTATTGTCTTACAGAACGACCATTAAACCCTCACACCAAGTTACTGCTTCATATATAGGAGAATTATATCTTTGCCAAATATTAATGTTCAGATGGAAACGCTTGACTCTGGACGTGCTGGAGGAACGCCAATCACGCAGACACCATCTCAGCAGCGGATAACTCTTGGTTAGAACTTTTTCGGATGATTTGATGGTCGAAAATTCTTCGACAAAAATGATTATAAACATTTGCATGGGAAATGGCGCAGTGTAAAAGTTGTAATATAAAGAAGTCAACGAAGTACGTTTATAGAATTGAAGTAGTGTTATCAAAGTCGTCATTAAACATTGATCATTAGTTACTTTGTGTCATTGTGTTTGAGTGGTATTCGGGCATTGGATCAATAGATCTTTCGATAATGCTTCGGATTTTTTGTAATGTGGATGGCTGGTGTTCTCCTACAACATGAGTGGTTTTGGAGTTATGGTGTAAGGTGCAGTAAGATATTTTGCATCCCGTGATGAGAAATTGCTTGATTCATTGCCTTATCCTCTCTATCAATCTATCAAAAACGCAAAATGTTAAGAGGAGCGGAAAATGTTTCAAACGATTAAACTTTCACGAAGTTTCTTTTAATGAATCCTGTTTCCAGGTCTGCTATATGAATAAATTGTAACAGTAGTACCTTGTGTGTTTAGGTAATTTGCACTTTCAACAAGATCCCAACGATCCACAGAAATGGATCATCACTAATGATTCGGCTGCCACAACTCCATCAACCCAGACATCGAATCATTCTCACAATCAGTCGGCTAGGATGACTGGTGGAGGCGATTCACCCAATATGATGGTCGGCGAATACGAGATGGGATTGGATGATGTACGTTGTTTTTACAACTCATGTTTGTATCATTCGCTTGCATGCGATGGATGATTTTTTCAATATAAAGTAGTAATATTTTTGCAAAATTTCGAAAGCAAGAGGACATAACATAACATAACATTTCAGTAACTAAATTGAGGGGGCTCTGCGAATCATTTAATAAGCTGTATTCAAAATGGTGTTTTTCAGAGTCAAGTTCCGAAGCGCTGCGCATGTACCTGTCCGAACTGTCAGAATTCGAATACTCCACGAACGTGAGTTTCAAGGCATTCTGAGAACTAACCGGGAACGTTGAAAGCAGCACCAGCTTTCCAGTTATTTTTCTTTGCTATATTGCCTCGCTTCCACATCTTGACAGTCGAAAAGCGCTGTCAAGGAAACTTGGAGCATTAATCCCCAGAGATCGTTTGGAATGTGCCTCCGCAGTTCGCTTTCGTTTAAAATCCAAGTTTTGAATACGTATTGGCTGGCCATGACTAGGGTGACCAGGTTATGTACAGTTCACTGTTCTCATTCTTTAAGACAAATGCGAATGAGATCTGGTGCAAGTTAACAGACTCCGGGGAAGGGACGGTTGGTAGGCTCGAAGGGATATTACTACGAGCGCATAACAGGAAATTTCTTATCATCACTCAACTTCTCCCCAACTGGGACACATATCTTCACGAATCATCAATAATCATTTCAGTGCTCACTCATTCAGTTTGTGATCTTGCTCTTACGAAAAAATTATAATTTTTCCTAATTTCAGTGGTGATGGTAAACAAAGACTTCATATTTGTCATATATGCCAAAAAACCTATGGAAAAACATCTCATTTGAGGTATGTCCTTTGCTTCCAGCATTTGACTAGTTCAGTGCAAGCTCAAATTGAATTGTTGGCTTTTCGGATAAGATCGTTGTCTAATCTTCACCTAGTCATTCATGATTCCTCGCATTTAAGGTTGAGCATGTAGGTGTGGATTTGAAATTCTTTCAGAGCGCATCTTCGTGGACATGCCGGCAACAAACCGTTCGCTTGCGACTGGCAACACTGTACTAAACGTTTTACAAGGTTTTTTTTCTTTTTTTTTTTGTATTACTATTTGCACTTTCAAAGAAATCTGTTGGTAAAGTTTATAATCAAGGGGTTGAAGGGGACATTGGGCGCTCCTATGTGGAACGTCGCCAGTTTCAGATTCAAACACTTCTTCGCGTCGCATTGCTGAACTTTCGAAATGTAGCATCTCGCAAACAGTCATTTATGTTACCAAGTCCTTCTGTTGCAACCGGGTCCGGTTTGCAACGTGCTCCCTTTTTCCTATGGGTAGCCGAGCGCCCGGCTAGCCGCCATTGGCGGGGTCACTTTTCTGTGACTAATCAGACAACCAGAAACTTAATAATTTAGTAATTTTGTCGACCAGTGATAACACCGATAACAAAAGCCTTTATCCTTCTTTTTTTATCTTAATGGGTATAAAGCGCTAGTTGAAATTCTCAAATTATCGCTTGCAAAAAATGTTCAGTCACAACTGTTTCAGGAATTAAGAGAGTACACAATATCGCACAACGATTAGGCATCTAAAGTGTCAAGGCTACATTTTCAGTCTGAAATGTGTAGGGAAATAATTGGGTTTTAACTTTCAAAACCCTTCATCAGTGTTAATA